TTTTATTTTTAAAAAGATTTTATTGGGGAATTGGGGGAGGGGAACAGTGTTGGGGAATTGGGGAAGGGGACCAGCCAAGTTGTTGTTCTTCAATCTTCGTTGTGGAGGGTGCCAGTCGCCATCTGGCTTCCCATCGGCAGCTCATGGCCTCTCTAAGCTCAAGGTGCTGTGTTCAATCTTAGTTGCAGATGGGCGTAGCCACCATCCCATGAGGGAATCGAACCAGCAGCCTTCTTGTTAAGAGCGCATACTCCACTGAGCCATCCGGGCGGCAGCTCAGCTCAAGTTCAGCTCAAGTGCCGAGTTCAGTCTTAGTTGCGGGTGGGCATAGCCCACCATGGAACAGGCAATCTTGTTGTTACACCAGCTGAGCCATCCTGCCACCTGTTGACAGCTCAGCGACAGCTCAGCTTGGGCGCAGCATCACTGGCCCATATGGGAATCAAACCGGCAGCCCTGTTGTTCAGAGCTTGCACTCCTAAGCCAACTCTTAACCAACTGAGCCACTTGGCCAGCCCCCAAACCAGGGCTTTTAAATTTGAGACCCAGAGAGTCCTGTATTGGAATCCTGGAGCTGCCTCTTTACTAAATGTTTTGCTCAGGGAAGTGACTTCACCTTCCTGAGTGTGTATCCTCACCTTTAAAATGAGGAAACTAATACCCACCTTGCAGGTTCTGTGAGGGGTAAACACATTTAACCCATTTGGCACAGTGCCTGGCATTTGGTATAAATGCTCAGTAAATGTTCTCTGTGTGTGCTGTACTTCCAGGTAATGACTAAGTTCAAGGTGTGGTCATGGGAGTGGATGGCTGGAGTGGGATGAAGATCAGCAGAGATGAGGTGGAAAGAGACAGAAGCTAGATCATTGGAAGGGTGGCCCATCATGGGATGGTTAAGTATCCCAGCAGGGTGGCAGGGGCTGTGGTGGAAAGTCTGTTAGGAGGTGCTAGAGACTTCAGGAGTGAGGGGAAGTCACCAGGGAGTCACTTTCAGATGAGGAAGTGGGACACAGGGTGTTAGAATATGAGGACACAAGGCTCAAGGAAGCCAGGGTTCTGTGAAGCCAGATTAGAGTCAGGGGGTCTGCCTCAGCTGAGTTCCCACAGCCCTTTGTGTGTCCCTCTGAGGTGCCCCCAGTATCATGTGCCCCACTATGACAGAGGTTGTCAAGGGAGGAATTGGGTATCGTGATCCCTCCTGTAGTGGCTAGAACAGAAGTATGCCTTGGTAAGTGATCATTGAATGACTTGGGAGTGAGGGAAGGAGAAAAGTCCTGGGTGACATTCAGTAAAGTGACAGATCCAGGATTCATGGGACTCTCAGGGTCCCAAATTTAAAAGCCCTGGTTTGAACCACAACCCAGTACTGTCTTCCGTGTTTGCAATTCACTATCCTGCGCTCTGATCTCAACATCTGCCGTCTAGGCCTGGCAGGCCCTTGCTGCCATCACACCTGTAGCATCAAGTCATAGGGAGCTCCACCCCCTTGATCCCTCTGTTTTCTGCCAGTCAGCCAGACCTCTCCCGGCTTCTCTCCCTTCCCTGCCCAGCCAGAGCCTCATATCAGACCATCTGATCTCTTTCACCAGCTCTCTAATAACCAGGCTCCCAGCAGGAAACAGAGGGCATCACAGCTGGGTTTTTGAAGATAATTTAATGAAGAGACTATTTACAGAGGTGTGGGCAAGGTTGAGGGAACCAACAAGGGAGGTGAAGGCAGCAGGAAGCTGTGACCACCCATAGGTCTGCAGGGGTAAGAAAAGGGAGCGGTGGTAATACTGGAGAGAGCCATGCGCGAATGGCACCAGAGTTGTGTAGGGCACAGTGCTGACACAGAGCTGGGAGTAGGAGAAGAAATATCCTGGAACGATGCTTCCTTCCCCACTTTCTAATGTCCTGCCGGTGCTTCCTATGGAGGACCCACTTAGAAGTCAGAGAGCAAGTGAGCCTGATGATGCTGTCCGTATAGGTAGAAAAGGGTAGGGGGTAGACCTGGAAAGGCAAATGGAAAATGACCAGAACGCTCTTGATTCCTTTCCACCCTGGGCCTTCTTCAGCACATCCCTCACCAGGATCCAGGTGGTTGAGATTGGCTCAGGGAGGAACGGTGGCAAAGTGGTACATATGGGTACCACTCCAACTTCTTGGTCAGCCTCCTCTCTCAGTCACCATTCTTCCATGAGCATCCCCAACCCTACCCTTTCAGCCTCAACAAATAAAATTAAGACGAAGCAGTTGTGATTTCTTCAGCTTCCAACTCAGACCTACAGGTATCCACACCTAGATTTACTTCACTTCTTCAGGCTCAGTTCTAGTCCAACCTCCCCACCCATGCACCGCCCATCCCATCGTGACTCCCAGAACATGACTCCATTATTCTTCCCTTCTCTGTTTCGACAGTCCTTCCTTCCTTCTCTCTCCTCCTTTTTAGCCTATAAATTATCTGAATTTCTACCACCTTAAACACTAACAAAAAACCTCTATGTCCCTTTATTCTGTGCCTGTCCTTTGTTCTCCTCATCCCATCCAAAGTTCTTGAAAGAATGAGTATGAGTTAGGGTTCTTTGGCTGCAAGCAACAGAGACTGACTCTTGCTCACTTAAGCAAGCAGGGAATTTATTAGAAGGAAATGAGGATGGCACACACAATGGAAGGAGAGACTGAAGAACCAGGCTTTGGAATGGACTGGAACCAGGGCAGTAGCAGAGATGCAGATAGCAGGAAGGAATGGCAGTTTTTTCAGGGCCCTTGCTGCCGCGCGAATAAGCTCTAACCAGGTTCCAGCCTCCTGTCACATAAGCTCACCAAATTCCAGGGAAAGCTTCTGATTGGTGTAGCTTGAGTCATGTGCCTCCCCTTGGCCTGTGGACAGCTGGGCACCCTGATGGACAGTCTCATGGAGCTCTCATAGACAATGGGGAACTGGATGCTGGGTAGGCAGAAACAGTGGATGTCTGCAGAACACCCCTGTTCACCAGCCCCAGCCTTCATCTCTCATGGGAGTCTCAACTCACTGAAACCATTGGGACCAAGCTTGTTAATGCCCTTTTGCCAAATCCAACGGCATTTTCCAGTCTCTATCTGCAGTTTTTAACTCCATTGACCAGTATCTCTCTCTTGAAAATCTTTCCTT